GGTTAGCAATATTGTCTTTTTTATTTCTTTTTTGATCAGCAGAAAGTCTTCAATAATTCAGCGAAGTAACTTTCAACTCTGATATTGTTAACTTTCTGGTTAGGTGAGCCTGGTCGAACTGAAGCACTGGAAAACACAAGGCTACCATCCAAACCCATGCCTGCACCACTGGTTATGGTATTCTAAAAAGCTGTTAAAAGAGATAGATGCAGGGTGGGCCAAATGAGAGTAGCATAGAGAATCCTGTGCAATTCAAGTAAGTCATAAATAATGCTCACTTAACAAATAGAGATGCCTTGACTGTGCTCTGTTCTGTTGTAAAGTACAAAGGAAGCAGCTAAAGCATGAAGAAAGTGTAGGGAGAAACACGAGACTTAGGTGCATGTTTCTCCCTATTTCTTAGAATGGTTCAAATAATCTGATTTGTTGAACAAGACTAAAGCTGTCAAAAATATCAAACCATTAAAGTTCACAAACTATTTAAGTTCACAATCCACAAAAGTTTACAAACTGTTAGTAGTAGTTTGGCAGGTCAAATTGAACACTTCCACCCTGATTTTTTTTTTAATTCAATACTGAATTTGAAAGTGAAGTGTTCCATGAAATCTGGCTGAATTGTGGCTCATGAAAACATGCAAGTTTTTTTCACATGACAATTAGAAAACAAACCACTCAAGGCATGTGTTTTGTGAATGAATGACATCTTCTTGGGATGACAGCACTGTAAAACTTAGTTGCTGTGACTGATGTGGCCTCCCACTCAACCCATTGGAAACAGAACAACTAAGAGCTTACTCTTAGTTGTTCTGTTCTGCAAGCTCTTAGTTGTTCATTTGAGGGGCAGACAATGCAGTTTCTGAGGCTTGCTTCACTGTGATGACGGGAGATTGCCATGATGAGCTAGCCACAACGAACCCTAGCATAATTTCAGTCCCTCTAACACCATCATGATTTGTTGAATTTTAACAGTTATGCCAGTTTTGTTATATTTTTTCATCATTCCTGTTTTGTTCTGTTTTGTCTTGAATGAAAAGCTATGCATACTGTGCGAGTGTTAGCTGTATTTGAGTTTTATTACTGTAAGCCTACAAACCCTTTGCATGTGGTTGCTTGAGAAGTTTGGATGTGCATCATGTGTAATTTGAATCCTAATGAAAACATCACAAAGAATTAAGATGGACTGCAGACTGTTTGAAGAACAGATAAAACTTTTGAGGACTAGGAGAACTACGTTGTTATTTATAAGGATATTGGTTACCTCCTCCCAAATGGCTTAAAACTTGAAGGCTTATAATACCTTCTTTGTCCCATGCTTGTGACTAGATGGAAAACATCTTATTATATTTCTTTACCGAGCCCAATTACTTACCATCTTTCCTATTCTTTACAAAACATGACGCTTTTAACATTGCAGATCCTAGCAGCATGTAGGACACCTGTCAAATATGATTTTCATAATGGGCCTTGCTCATCATAGAGTCTCTGTGGCTCGATGGTAGAGCATTGGACTGCAGAATCGGAAGGTCTGAGGCTCGTTTCCTCATGGGGACTAAATTTTTTCGTTGTCCCACACTCCTGACCAGACGAAAAACATCTTTCTATATTTCTTTACTAAGCTCAAAACTCAGCTGAGTTACCATCTTTCTTATTTTTTACCTTGGAGCTTTTTTCTTTTTACAGGATTCCTTGATAAGTATGAGTGTACAGCAGAACTTGTACATTCTCCATTCTCTAAGGAAGTGTTCGACAAGCCAATTAATTTTTGACTGCGGGAATATGAAGGGCCATTCTATATTGAGCTGAGGCAGCTGTAGCCTTTAAGGGAACCGACTGGAACAACTTTTCCGTGGCTGTAATAAATGTTTAGCTATACCTTAATGTTATCCACAAAAATTATTTGTATTTCGTTTGAGTCAAGTCAAATCACTCCATTCATAGCACTAAGGGACTCGCATTGAGCGTGTTTGCGCTTTTTTTCATTGTACAGGTTATGAAATGGTGCTAGAAGTTTGTAAGGCGGCAGGGTTTTCTTGTCTTTTTCATACTGATGTATGGAAGGAAGTAACCTTTGGGCAAAGAAAATTTGATGCCATGTGTTTTATACTATAGAAGATTATTACCAAGATTATTTGGGTAAAGGGTGGGATGGAATTAGTTTTCCTTTATTTATTTTTAATAATAAAGTAAATAGATAGATGAATAAAGTAGCCTGTATTCATCCAAGTTCCTCATAATGGATGTATTCCTGTCTTAAAGAGAGAAACAGAGGACAAGACTGACAAAGAATTTCAAAGTAGAACTAAAAATCTTTATTATTTTTTATTAAAATACAGTTTTACACTATGTCACCTTAATTTTAGTTAAAAGGAAATATGTAATTTCTTATTTCATTTATTGTGAAATGTTCTGAAAAAACCGATTAACTTGAGGAATTCAGTCTTAAATTGCAGCTTGCTATATCAAGAAAACAATCTAAAAGCGTTTCCACATCTTGCCCACAAATATTTACTCGTATCGAGATAAGCCGCTAAGTTTATTTAACTCAATCATCAAAAACTTGAAGTGTTACGCCAACCTTGCTAGCATCTTTTGTGCTCTTTAAGTTGCATTTTCTATTATCGCGTTTCTCACTTCTCCGATAACATTAACAAAGTGCGAGGCAGCCATTATGAAATTTAGCGCTCATGCTATGATCACCTCGCACAAGGTGATTACGAGATATGGCGCAATACTCGTCCAATCAGACGGTCACTATAATCACCAGGAACAGTTATAATAAATGAAGATATATTAATTAACTTAGACTATTTTGAAATTATCCCAACAAGCCGAACTACACCTGCACCCCCTATTCAGCTAGTTCCAGTGATAAATTGTTCGAAAGGAGCTTTAGATTTTTAACGGCGCCGTAGGTCTCTTCATTATCGCTCCTTTGAAAGTGCCTACAGCTTTGAAGTCGATAAACAAAATATAAATGGATAAAGGCTGAGAGTTTCGAAAGAAACTGTTTGGGCTGCGTCGGTGGGAGTAACGAAATAATTTGGATATATTAAAGTTGAAATGGTAAATTGGCCACCGTAACGATTACAAAAGCTGACGTTTCGAGCGTAAGCCCTTTGTCGGAGCGAATAGAAGAATTGCGGGTTGTGTGTGCTTTTAAAGGCAGAAAATGGAGCTACGTTATTGGTGGGAACATGGCAACGAGAAAAACAACAATAAATTAGTGGAATGAAAAGCCTTCGTTGATCCCTGTGGGATTTAGACTGCCGGTTTGAAAGATGAGCTTTAGTTCAAGATTTTTACGGCTTTCGGTGCTACCTAAGTGTAAGGAAAGACCGCAGATTGCCATGTGGTGCTTAGAATGATTAGGTAAATTAAAATGTCTAGCGACTGGTTTCGATGCGTCCTTGTCATTCCTTTCCACGTCTCGAAGGTGTTCTCGGAATCGGTCACCTAGTCTTCTGCCTGTTTCGCTGATGTATATCTTTTTGCAATAAGTGCAAGTTATGCATTAGATTACATTGGCGGAGGTGCACGTGAAGTGATCGGTGATCTTAATGGATCGTTTAGGTCCCGATATTTTATCAGTGTTGTGAATGAAAGGACACGTTTTGCATCGT